CTTTCCCTGCTCAGGGGAATGGTGGACAGAGATGTCCTCCGGTGCCTTGCAGGGCTCAGAGACCCAGTCACCCCCTTCTCCCGCAATTCTCAAAGCCTGCTTGCAAGCCCCATGGACCTGGCTCACTTCTGTGGTGCTCTCCAGTCACTGAGCCTGCAAGTAATGGGTCTTTACGTGAAAGCTCTCATAGGCTTGGGTTTTGTGGGCCTCTGCTCAGTTGTTCCTGACAAGAATGACACAGGTTTCTGCTTCCAGGCCGGACTTTCTCCAGTGATTTACGATACCCTCACTGGTCTTATGACCAGTCTCATAGCCATTGAACTGGAGAAAGTGCTGCTCAAATCCACCTTCAGCAGGGTAAGCAAAACACTGTCCTCTACCCTGTAGTCTGGCTTGACTGCAAACCTTCCACCAGGAAACCCTCAGTTAAGGGATGGGGCAGAGGCAAACATTGCCCTCAAAGAAGCTCTGCCACCACTGGTGGCCAGCTCAGGGAGACCTCGCCTTAGCACACACAGCGTGAAAGTGTATTTTGTGATGGGGCTGGGAGGGGCTTGCATCAATAAGGGGGGGGGAACGACTTTAAGGTGGGTCTAAACATAAGCCAGTTTAACCTGCAATAAATGGTCTAACTGGGACCCTCCTGCTCAGAGATCTCCCCCTGCTCCCCTGTGACTTTTGTTAATTGTGTGTTTGGCACAACCCCTGGGCCTGCTTGGGGAGTTAACAGGGCTCCCGCCGTCCCCACAGCTTGGCGGTCTGCAGTTTGACAAGGAGCTGAGGTCTCTCATAGCCTATCTCACCACGGTCACCACCTGGACTATCCGTGACAAGTTTGCCCGTCTTTCCCAAATGGCCACCATCCTCAATCTGGAAAGGGTAAGCTACACTTTTTGTCTGCTTTTACTGGGGGATTGCGGGAGCCCCAGCTGGACTGCACATGGATTTACTGGGCTCATCCAGACCTTGTCACACCTATGGGGTATAGAATCATAGAATCGTTCATGTTGGAAAAGACCTTTAAGATCAAGTCCAACTGTTAACCTAGCGCTGCCAAGTCCACCACTAAACCATGTCCCTAAGCACCACATCTACCCGTCTTTTCAATACCTCCAGGGACGGGGACTTAACCAATTCCCTGCGCAGCCTGTTCCAACGCCTGACTACTCTTTCAGGGAAGTAATTTTTCCTAATATCCAATCTAAACCTCCAACTTGAGGCTGTTTCCTCTTGTCCTATCGCTTGTTACTTGGGAGGAGAGACCGATCTCCACCTCACTATAACCTCCTTTCAGGCAGTTGTAGAAAGCGATATGGAGAAGCTGGAAAAGTTGCCCCATGCCTGATGGGCATTTGCCTGCAGGGGTTCATGGCAGGAAATACCGTGACGACAGCCGGAGTTTGAACTCCCATGCGAGAGCAGTTGGTGCCAACTTGTCTCCTGCAGCTCTCCTCTTTCTCCAGGTGACAGAGATCCTGGATTACTGGGGCCCGAACTCAGGCCCGCTCACCTGGCGCCTTACTCCCGCCGAGGTCCGGCAGGTGCTGGCTCTCCGAATTGACTTCCGCAGTGAGGATATCAAGCGGCTGCGCCTGTAGTTGGTCGGTGCTCGGGTCAGCACCGCGCAGGAGGTAACGGCAGGAAGGCCACAGCTCTGGAGCCTGCCCAGGTCCTGCCGTGGGGCTGGCTGTTAGACGGTGTGGGGATGGGGTGATGTCTGCCCTTCTGCTCATGTTCCTTGGAGCAAAGGGCTTTCCTCGGCTTGGGAAGAAGAGCCGCCATTCTTTTGTGGGAGCAGAAACAAGGCAGCAGAGGGATCTCTCATTTTGAGAGCAGCATGACACTATTTCTGAAAACAGGTGCTAGTCTGAGGGACAAGCTTGCACTGGCTCCCGACTCCCTTCATTCTGCTGCCCTGTGGCAGGCTGCAGGTCAGGGAATTTGGGGGCTGTTACAGTGTGGTTCAAATACGGGTCTGCAGAGTGCGCTCTGCCCGTGCTGCTGGCCGCAGTTGTGTTCCTTCTGTGCCACCAATTTAAGGGTCAGCTACTGGAGTCCTACACATCCTGAGCCCTGGTGGCGGTGGGGAGCGTTCTGTAGAAGGGAAAAGGAGTGATTTCCTTGTGGGGAGGGTGTTTGGAAAATCCCTAGAAAGCCGCTGTGGGAAGCGGGGCTGTGTCCCTGCTGGCTTGCTGTGCCCTGTACAGCTACTCTGTAAATAAACCTCGCCTGACTGAGCAGCACCCTCGGGTGGGGCGTGTGTCTGTGGGCCCGGAGGAAGCTGGAGAGATGCGGGAGAAGAGCTAGGCACCATTTCTCCTCTTCTACCCTGTGCCGGCACCAAGAGGATCTTCTTGCCCCCCGCAGCTGGCATTGGCACGTCGCGAGTACCCCGAAGACAAAACCCCGCTCCTGTGGCAGCGCTCCCCTGCTGTCCCCGTCAGCCAGGGCCGTGGAGGGCGATGTCCAGCCTCTGCGCACAGGTTCTGCCATGCCCGCCCCAGGAGAGCTTTGCCCCTGCAGTGCCAGGCCCTTGCTGTCCCGCAGGGAGGGAGGAGCCCTGCTGGGGACAGAGGGGCATAAACACATGCTGGGAACAAGCTTTTTTATTCAAAGAGAGCACAGGGACTAGTAACTCACTGCAGGAATAGTCTCTCAGCACAGGAGAGGGACTTGATTCTACACCCAGGTGCATGCTTGGTGCAGGAGCATTGCATGCCGAAGGGGTAGCGCAGACCCCTGCTGCTGGAAGAGCAGGAAGGTTCCTGCTAGAAGCAGCATCACAAATGCTATTCTTTTCCTTTTGGAGAACTGTGAAAACCCCAAATCAGCCTGCAGGCCCTAGCAAACTGTCCTTCCAGCAAGGCCGCCCTCCGGGGATGGTTTTGCCTGCCCAGCTTGTCACAGCTTCTCCAGCCTCCGTAGCTTCTGGGGCAAGTAGCAGCACAAAAAGGCCACATCAAAACCTAAGGCACCTGCTGGAGCTGGCTGAAGGAGCTGCCTCTAAAGCAGCGGGGATTTCCCTGTGTTGGAAGGCAGCTGGCTGCTCCCTCCCCTGCCCTGCATATCTGCCAGGAACAGGTCAGGGCTGAAGGCTTTCACACAGCCATGTCCTCTCCGGGGCAAGCACCGTCCTTCGGATCACATCCCACGACCTCCACAGCAAACCCACCCATGTCCACTTCAATGCTGTGGATGCTGAAGTTGCCCAGTCCCTAGGGGGGATTAAAAAAAAAAAAAAAAAAAAGGATTGGGGCAGGAGCCAGCAAGGGACCTGTTCTCACTTCCAGGGTCCCGGGGAGGGCTAAGGGGACAAGAAGCAATCTCATCCCCCTCGTGGTGGGCAAGATACTCCTAGTGCTTGTGCTATATAAAGTGAGCTTCTGCAAGCCGCCGCAACAGCGAACCACCTGGGAGCTCAGATCTCACCTCGGTTTTTGCTAGAACTTGGTACAAAGCCTCTTTCTGCCGAGGGCCTTTGGTTAAGATGTAAAGGAAGCCGCCACCGCCAGCCCCAGCCAAGCACTGCCCGTAGACGTAGGGCCGAAGAGCATCCATCATGTGCCTGACGGCCAGCGGCTCACACCCAGGGGCCATGCATTTCTTCTGCTGCCAGTAGCGGTCCAGACACTTGCCAATGAGCAGCAGGTTACCTGCAGGAGAGAGGATACTGAAATTATTTGCCTCTATTTCTTGCCCAAGGGGCAGAAACCTGTCCCTGCCTCTCCTGCTCAGCCCAAGCTAAATTCTGCCTTCTCATCTACCCAGTTCCTCCCAGCCCTGCCTGCCGAGCAAGCAAACCCAGCCCTGTCACGTTGCTGTTTATTTTTAATCCTCTACAGGGGGAGAATTTGCTTGCTTTAATGCTCTGGCTTCCCCTCCGCAGCATCCCAGCAGCCAAAGGCCTAACGAATCCACTGCACAGGCTAGGCACGGCCCCCAGCCCCATCACGGATGGCTCTTGGAAAATAATCAACCAGACTAGGCGTGTCTAATCCCCCCTTCCTCAAAGTCTTTGTTCAAGCCTGAATTTTGGGGCACTGCCTGTAATATGCCAATTTTCAGGCATTACCAGTAATATGCCAGGCATGGGAGGAGGATTTGAGGCTTCTGCAGCTGCAAGAGCCTGCAACCCCCCAGCTTTTGCCCCCCAGGACTGCACAGACTCCCCGGGGATGTTTGTGTTTCTTCAGCAGTTAAAAGGGCTGGCCTGGCCCAGGGAAGGGGGCTCACACCTTGCCTCAAGGCCTGGGCACACTCCTCGGCGTTGCTCACCAGCGCGTCGGCATTCTGCACAGCGGAGGGCAGCCTGGCGTACCAGTTCCTCACCACATCCTGCAAGAGGCCAGAATGTCCCTGTCACCACCCAGCCGGACCCAGCAGCACCCGGGGAGGCAGCGCTGCACCCACAGCCTTCACTGCCAGATCCCATCTGGGTGGCAAAGCTCTGCGCCAGTGAAGGGGACAGGCACCAAAGGCCGCGGAGGGAGCAGAGGCCAGACCCTGCGGCACCCAGGCATTACCTGGAGCAGGTTGCGGGCCAGGCGAGTCTTCCCTGTGTACACCAGCAGCAAGTGATTGTTGAGGGTCTGGGTAAAACCGTCGGGCACTGGGATCTTCTCCACCTCCACCCTGAGCGGCAGCTGGGCCTTCGACCGCCCGATTTTGATGCCGGGCACGAGCCCGCCCACCTGGTCCTGCCAGCCGCCGCCTGCAGGGCAGAGGGTCCTCAGCCACTGCCGGGCCCCCCACCCCGCAGGCTGGCTGCTCCCCCCGGCCGCTACCTGTCGTGAGCCTCTGCTCCAGGTGCAGCACGGCGTGGATGAGGGAGTCGGTGCTGGTAGCCTTCCCGGTTGCCCGGTACAGCGATGCCATCACTGCTCCTGCCAGGATGCTGCTGGTGCCTGCAGGGAGCACAGGCGGGGCCAGGGCAGCGAGGCACCACACATGCCTGTGAGAGCCGGGGCTCCCGGCTACAGGGCGGCGAGGGGGATGCCCGTTCCCGGTGCTGGCAGCAAGCCAGCCCTTTCCCTGCAGACTTACCAAGGCCAGACCCGTGGGGCAGCTTGGACCAGGTGTGCACCTCAAACCCACCCCCAAAGCTCTCCATCAGCTGGGCCCGCAAGGGCTTCTGCGAAGGGAACTGCACAACCTGGGTGCAGATGAAGGCAGCTTTGAGCAAGGCTCCTGGAAACACGAGGAGAAAGCAAAGCTGGTGCCTGCTGCGCTACCTGCTCCCTCACCCCATCATCCCCAAAAAGGGTCACCCTGCCACCATGGGGTCAGGACACCAAGGGGACATCAGGGGTACGGAGCCAGGCCGTGCGGCTGGTGGCACCTCACCTGGCGCGTGTGGCTGGCAGTAATCCTGCAAGTGCTCCAGCTCCCGGCACACCAGCTCCACCGCCACTTCGCTCTGCAGTGTCCCGCCAAGGCTGATGAGGCGCAGCTCCGGCTCGCCAATGCGCCGCACCCGGGCGCCGATGGGCCGGCACCCATCCACCAGCACCGCCACATCCACCACGGCCCCCCCGTGCTCGTACGTGATGGGGGGGGTGTCGCTCCAGCCGCCTGCCAAGGCTCACCATCAGCTCCCCGTGGCACCCCGACTTCTCTTCCCCCAGTGTCACAGGGGTGAGACGTGGATCGTTTGGCTGGGGGTTGCACTCACCAGAGAGGTCCAGGCGAGCCGGACATGCCACCTGCACCCAGTGCCCCAAGGGTGGCAGCTCCGCCTGCCCTACGGTGACAAACTGGCACGAGGACATCACCGCCTGCCGGAGGAGGATCTGCTCGGCCCCCTCGTAATGCCGAGCCGCTCTCACCAGCAGAGCTGGACTGGGAAAAGAGCGATGCTGAGCCCGCTGCTGCAGTTCCACGAGTGCCAATGCCTGGGACAGGGCAGCAGCTGCTCACCAGCCCCAGCCTCACCTGCTCATCCACTTCTGCCGCTCAGCAGCCAGCTCCCGGACACCACCGGCGATGTCCCCGCTCTCCAGGCGTCTGAAAGCCAAGGCCCACTCCCTGTTGGCAGCGGGCCCGCTCCGCAAGCCCCCTTCCCCTCGTGCCATGCAGCCCAGGACGTCAGCAATGCAGGCGAGTGCCCGGGCTGCGATGCCAGCGTCGCCAGCCGTGGAGGCAACTAGAAAACAAAAGGAGGTTGCAAAGCCATAGCCAGGCTGCGGGTCACCCCAAACCAGCCCCACTTCTGCAATAAGCCAGCTCCAGGGGAGAGGGACTCGCATGGCTTGCACCCACCCTGGCTTGCTGGATGCCCTGGGGGTGCACCCCATGGGTTCTTGCAATGGGGGGTTATCGGAGGGGCTGGGGAGCACCAAACAGCCCCAATACCCAGAGGCACGAGACAGAGCTTGTGCAAGTCCAGCTCACCCTCATCCAGCGTGCCCAGCACGGCCTCGTGGTAGCCCTCGTGGACGGCGCTGCGGGCGAGCGGCAGGAGGCTGCTGTCCTGCCGCCCCAGCAGCACCTGCCGCACCTTGCGCTGGCCCTGCAGGAAGAAGAGGGCCCGGCGGGCACCCAGCTCGGCTGCCTTGTCCAGGCAGGGCAGCAGCTCCTGCCAGGACATGCGCCAGGCTGCCCGCCAGCGCACCAGCCGCTCGCCAGCCGGCGCCGCCGGGTCCAGCAGCCACAGCACGTCCTCCAGCCCCAGCGCCTCACAGGCATGCAGCACTGGGAAGAGCCGGGCACTGAGCAAGCAGCGGCTCCTCCGCGGCATCTCAGCGTCCCAAAGGTCCCCTTCCCTGATGGAGGAAGAGCGCATCAGCACCGCCCCAGGGCTTGAGGACACCTTCCAGGAGGGGAGGCGGGACATAGGATGGGTTGGGGTGGCACCTCCCACTGCAGCCACGCCCAGGGGAGCCGGGTCTCCTGTCCCATCCTGGCACGTGGCACCTACCGTATGCCTGTCCGATGGAAAAACTCAGCCCAGGGCACATTCAAGTAGGTGGCCTCTTCGGCAGGGCTCTGCAGGGAGATGGAGGGGCTGGTTATGCCCCAGCTCCACGGGGAGCCTTGCACTGCCTCACTGCCCCTGTACCTGCCAGTTGTCAAGGCGGCCGGTGAGCGTGAACACACGGCAGGGCAGGTCACGCAGCCGGATGTGGTGGCCTTGCAGGACGACGTCATGCAGGGGACAGCCCTGCAGGGCCAGCGAGGAGCCCGTGGTGAGGCCTGAGAGAAGGCAGCCGGGACCAATCTCCAGGGGACCCTGCGGAAGAGGCAGTGGGGCCCTCAGTGGCACTGCCAGCTCCAGAGCAGCCCCCAAACCACAGCCAGACCCCAGCCTTGGAAGGGGACAACAACCCCGGGAGACAAGCTGGGGCCAGCAGGAGCCAGGTGGCAGAGGGACACACTTTGCTTTGTCATGGGGCTGCAGGGACATGCACTGCAGCAATTCAGGCCAGGTGACAGCCTCCGGGACTCACAGCCATGACACAGCCCCCAAGGAGAGGGTCTGCCCTGGTCCCCAGGAAGGGACAGCCCAGCAGGGACAGCTTCCACCCCTTTCCTAGGGAGGGTGACAGCCACCAGGGTCCCCAGCACCAGCCAAAAGGCAGCCAGGAAGAGGAAGGACACCCCAGATCTCACAGCTGTGGGTCCCCCATCCCAGCCAGGGCCACCTCATCCTGCTGCCCATTCAGTACACTGAGAACTCGGGGTTACCCCCACCCTTGCCACGTACCTGGAGGTGACAGTGCTGGATGACACTGCCAGCTGCCAGCCGCACGGCTCCTTCCAGCAGGCAGTTGGTGACTGAAGAGCCGTCCTCCAGGAGACAGGGCTGCTGCCGGGGACACAGAGGCACGTGGGACCGGGGTCCGGCCACGCAGCCCAGAGCAAACCCCAAAAACTGTGTGTGAGCAAGGCTGGGGATGGAAAGACGTACGTCCACATGGGAATGGGCTGTTTTGCAGAAGCGGAGGTGGCTGGCAGAGCCAGGCAGGAGTGTCAGGCTGCGGATGTGGTCGCTTGCAGAGGTGGTCATGTAGTCATAGGACGCATCGGGGATGCAGGCTGTGGGGGAGCAGGAGAGCTGTCAGCACACAGACGACAAATGTGGGTGTACCTGACACCCGTGTAAGCCAAGGGCAGCCAGGCTGAACATCCCCAGTCAAAGGGGTAGGGAGAGAAGACCTGGGGACCCACAGCTGTGGGGAGAAACAGCCAGGTGCCAGGCCCTGACCACCCCATCAATCCCCACACAGGGGAAGAGGGCTCAGGGCTGGGTTGTCACATGCACCCACTGCAGCATCACTCACCCATGCTAAGAGGGAAGGCACGGAGAGCTGTCCACAGCATGGAGCGGGCGCTCCTCACGCTGGCATCACCGCCACCCTTCACAAAATCCTCCTTCGTCACCCCCCCTGCCATGGACAGCACGATGTCGAAGAAGAGGGAGAGCTGGGGAAAGAAGGGACCAGTTGGGTGCAGCCAGGCTGGCCAGTGCAGCCACCCTGACCCCCACCCTGCTGCTGGGTGCTCCCCTCCTGCCACATCTCCTGCCCTGGCAGCACGGGGGCAAACAGGCCCTACAGAGATGCCCAACAGTGGCACCCGTGGGGCAAGGGGTCCCGTCCACCACAGAGGGGCTGTCACCTGGATGGGTGGTGCCCCCGAGTCCAGCCCCATGTAGGTGCAGGCGTCCAGAGGAGGAATAACATGGGTGGCCAGAAGCTGCTCGGCGGCATCTGAGGAGAAGAAAACCACCCCGCAGACCTGCCAGAGCACAGCGGGGCTGAGGCCACGGCCACGGTGACATGAGGAATGGGGCTGGCAGGGCCACCGACGCCTGAGTTGTGCCATACCAGTGGGACGGTGCCGTCGGGCCCCGCACACTGCTGGATCTGGGCCTCTGTGCCTTTGTAGATGATGTTGCGCACTAGCCCCTGGGAGCGAGACAACCCCAACGAGCTCTTCAGGGCACCCCAAGCCACACAGCCGTGGCAGGGCTGGGACCCTGGCACCCAAGAGACCGAAGGGGTGGGGACCCCTGCACCTCCAAGGGATGCCCCTTGAAGGGGGAGCTGCTCCTGACCTGTTCATCGGCAAGGTAGACCCCATGATTCCTGGCATACGCTTGGCTCCCGGGCACCGCAATCACTCTGACACCCTGGAAACCATCCCAGTCAATCCCTGGGGAGAAGGACAGAGACCAGTGCCCGCTGGGGCACTGAACATACCTGCACTGGGCACAACTGCCTGAAAACTGGGCCCACGGCAGAGGTGGTAACAGCAGTGTCCAGCCTCAGTCATCTTGCTGCAGGCACAATGGATGCTCCCAACCACAGAAGGGTCAGCAACACCCGAGAATCCACACCCTCGTGGGGGCACGGCACAGGCTGAACCGTCTGTGCTACTGCAAGCTCCGACCCCTGTCCCAAGCTGAAGCAGGTGCTGGAGGCGAGGCTGGCACCCACTCACCTGGCGCCGAGGGCACGGTGAGGAGCATGTCGGTGCTGCAGACCCACACGCCAGGCGGGGAGCCCACGCAGAGCTGCTGAGAGAAGGGCCACATGCCCAGGGATGGCACGGGAGGGGCCCAGCCCTTGTAGGGCACTCAGCACTCTTCCTGCCCTACTGGGAGCCTGCTGAAGGCACCCCAAAGGCTTCAGGAGGAGCCAAATCCACCCCCATGCCAGGGTACCCCACATTGCATGGCACAAGCCCAGGGCACTGTCCCAGAGGCCACACAGACCCGGTGCGTCATGGTCCCCAGCAGACTGTCCAGGTTGCAGACCAGTGCTTCGGCCGGGGCGCTGGGCTCCTCCGCGGGCAGGCAGGTGAAGGCCCGGCCGCAGTCGTCGAAGGAGAAGTCGCGGCCCTGGCGGGACAGGGAACGCCGGGGGGTCACAGGGAGGGAGGGGGTGCGAGGCGGCTCCGGTGCAAGGGAGGGGTCACAAGCTGGGCTGCAGGTGGGCTCTCACCATGTGCAGGATGAGGATCCGGGCTTCCCGCAGGACGTCGGAGGTCACCACCTGGGAGGGCGGAGCAGGGGACACTCAGCAGGGAGAGCGCAGCCCCCCCGGGCCCACCACAGGCTGCCCCC